ACCAGGGTAGTGCTACTGACTGAAGTTATTGTCTTTAGGCTTTAGGCCATTCCCAAAGGGGGATATTAACATGCTTGTATGCACTGTAAATGGGCTGATTTACCAATGTCATGCTAATACTGTGCCGGAACAACATAAGGGGAACTGCTGCTTTTTCTTTCCTCTTCCTTACTATTACTATCGTCAATTTATCCTCTACTTCTTTCTTATGTTTGTCACTCTCTTGTAAACTGCTATGTATGGGGTGCCTTGATAGTCGAAGCAGACATCGTGCTGTTCAGACTAGAGAGGTGAGCAGGGTAAGCCTGATTCTCTGTAAGGACTTCTCTGTTGACATCCACCCCTTGGCGCTCATGTGACCTAATGCAGTTGCGAGCGTCGTAAAACCTTACTAAAACTAAACTAACAAAGTGGGTGGGGAAAAAAAAGAAAGAAAACCACAAGGGGAATTAACCAGTGAATCTGATCGTCTCATCCTAAAGATATGGATTCCTTCCCTTGCCTTGTACCAACAGGAGGACGTCTTGTGAGCTCAGGCAATGGAGCACAGAGGAAGACGGGGGTGGGGGTTACTGGTAAGTGTCTTTACGCCCCCATTGACACAATTTAGAATATTTAGGAGGCAGGTTTCCCACCCTGCCTGACAAGCCCAACCTGTGCTGAGAGTGATAGATATCTCTACATCCCAGCAGAAAGACCTTCATACTTGATACAAATGTTTTCTCCCCTCTAGGGAATCGAAGGGTCGTGGGTGGTTGGCGGGTGCTCTGGTGTGGTTTGCTCCTTCTTTCCTATAAAAAATCTGTCGTCTCTATCTCCCCTCCTTCTTTTTGTGTTTGTTACTCTTTTGTAGCACTTCTAATCTACGGCACTTATATGACCGTATTGTGTAGTAAGTGCTGTAAAACTCTTACTAAAACTAAAACAAAGGGTCTCCTGCGTGCGACAACGAAGTACTTATATTTGTCAATTTAACACCACAGATGCCTGTAGAAAGATGAAGAATGAAACAAATAGAGGAGGGTTATCATCATCATTGCCTTTCTCACTCTGCACCAGGGTACAGGCCACGGACAAACACTTTCTCACCCTTCACCAGGGTACAGGCCACGGACAAACACTTTCTCACCCTGCACCAGGGTACAGGCCACGAACAAACACGCTCCACCTTTCTCTATTCTAGGCTAGCCTCTTGATGTTATTCCATGTCTTCCCATTTTTCTGCACATCAATTTCTATAATTCTGTCCCCGTGGTTTTATGCATAATTTAGCCAAATTTTATCATTTTTTGCATAATTTCTGATTATTTTCCTTTATCATTCTTTGTTAAAATTAACAGAATCGCATAATATTACATTTTTGGGCTCAGTTTGCATAATTTCAGAATTTTGTTTGCATAAAACCGCGGGGACAGATAATTTCTTCTCCAGGTTCCTTGATCTTAAGAGGGTAATACCAAGATCTATATTATGCAGTACTGTGGATGTTTTTTTGTGGCGGGTGTGGATTTTAAATTTGTCAGTACCGCACTCAATAAATTCAAGGCAAACCAACTACTTTGCGTTTTATTTCTACTTGAATTTCCTAAATACTGTTTTCGCAGAATATAGGGGTTCAAATCCCGTGCGGGCAAGTTTTTATCGAGTCCCCTTCTCCGTGACAGTCAGGGATGAAGACTAAAGAGGCCCACCTCTTAAATGATAGGACTGTAAAACATAATATTATTAAATTCTTTCAATTAGCATTTTCTCTTTCATGACGCTTTAGTCTCTAGCTCATTGAGCAATCTTATACATGTAATAATAAATAATATGCCAAACTAGTCAGTCAAATTTTATAGTGGTGCTAAAATTGTTAAAACAAATTCTCATATTTCTTCTTTTATCTCTAGCTCATGACATTTCTATGAATGAGACAGTCAAGCGTCTACCCGTTATACCACAGATGCCAGTTTGATCTTACTAATATACCATTATCCTGCAAAATTACTATGACGACTACAGTATATATATGGCAATCCTCCGTTGGATAGTGCCCCCCCCAAAAAAAAATTCTCGGATCCTTACTCAGAAATCGAACTCGGGTCTCCTGCATGAGACAGCCAAGCGTCTCCCCGCTACACCACAGATGCCAGTTTGATCTTACTAATATAATACTATTATTACTATTATCCTGCAAAATTACTATGACTACAGTCTACAGTTTATGGCAATCCTCTGCTGGATAGTGAAAAACAAAAAACCCTCCTCACTCAGGAGTCAAACTCGTCTCCTGCATAAGAGAGTGAAGCGTCTACCTGCTACACCACAGATGCTAAGATGCTAGTTTGATCTTACTATTATCCTACAAAATTACTATGACGACAACAAATGGCAATCCTCCGTTGAATGGATATTGCCAAACAGCTCATGATGACTGAGAAAAGGAAAGAGACAGTTTTCCATTATGGGGCTGCCCAGGGATAAAATATCAGGCCTGAGACTTTTGGGGGAAGCAGCAACTTAACAACCATCTAATTACCTCTGACAAAGGATGGATGGATGGATGGATGGGTGGGTGGATGGATGGATGGATGGATGGATGGATGGATGGATAGATGGATGGATGGACGGACAACAAGGTAAATGGTAACACTGATTTCAGATTTGACTCAACAAACTGAGATCCCATAGTATATGTTGTACCAATTCCATAAATTACACTGTAGAATTGATGTTAAATAAAAACAACCTTTATTATATTAATGGTGAGATGCATTCAAAACAGATCAAAGCATTCTGTCATAGTTCAGGGATAATAGATTTTGATAGAAGGCAACTCTATCATTTCATTAATTTCAAAGTAAAGTCCTTTCAGGAACAGATACTAGACACTGTATAGTGTTAAAAATAACATCTTGCACCATAAGGACTGTCTAGTAAACTTGAAAACAAGTGTATACAGTATTATTAGTATTAACTTTATGTTTAAATATTTGTACCGATAACGGAAAAAGAGCTCCAACAATTTACAATGGGAGCAGTACTGGATTCATCTAAAACTAAAAACTAAAATTGACCATACCAAAAATATAATTGACTAAGATTATCAATGATTATAGTCCTTTCCGGATCAAAAGTTTTTAACAAACTGCAGCTGAACTCTGTCCGATATAAAAGAAAGCCTATCATATATATAAAAGGTGCCCCCAGTTCCACTCCTTATCTCACTACCACTCACTGTAGTGTTTCCAGCATCTGATGTGAAAGGAAAGAACTAGGCATGGCAACAAGTGTTTGTCAAATGCAAAAACAATGAAATTTCAATGCTGAAGAAAAGCACAAATGTAACGCAATTTCAATAACTCCAAACAATAGTCATTATCGACATACCTGGTACATATTATAAAAGAGTCAAAGGCATTAACAATTTGTTCATGATAAAATTGTTCTTCCATTTCAGGACGGCATTTACAAGGAATGGATGTTATTTCTGTAATAATATTTCAACACAAGAACTGAAGAACAATAAAAATTTATAATCCACTTTTCATAGTAAGGTTAAAGTTAAGGTGAAACAACATGAAAATGAACAAAATAAGACTTGCTGAGAAAGAACAAAAGAATAAAGAGCCTAATTAATTCTTACCAGCCTATACCGTAGAATTTATTTAACATTCTTTTATTTCAGGTACGTGATGTACAAAAATACAAGCATCCAACTTCTTGGCTGAAATGACAAATGCGTACAAAAAATCCAGAGTCCAGAGATGTTCCTCAATAGGGTCTGATTATTGTATTCACCATGGTGAGCAAGTATCTAAAGATCTTTGATTCTGCACATTAAAATACTAAAGTAGGGGTCAGAGCAGGCAGGCAAGATGGCAAGAGATACAGTACAGTGCTTTATTGCAAACAGTTCAGAGATGCAATTTCCAACCACTGGAAAAGATAACGGGAAGAAAGAGGGGGTCAAAAGAGGATGCTTACATGCATGTTTAATCTAAATAAAAATTATTCTCCGACCAAATTACAAGAGCAGCATGAACTCGAAACGCATACTCAAGTTGGGATACCAAGGGTAATCATGTGTTGTCGAAAAAATAATTCAAGCTCTATGCTGACCAAACATGACAAGAGCAACACGAATCAGTCTTGAAAGGCCTAATTCATCAAAAAATAAACAGAGAATAGTACTAAACCTTCATTGCCAGGGGAAGTGCGTTCCTACTGTCAGCTCTGATTTTCAGCTCAAGTCATCAGCCAGGACAGCAGTCCCACGACCCAGTGTAATTGGACGAGCTGTCTCGACCTAGTCCACTCTAGACATATATATTATATTTTATTCGAACCCAGGGTCTTTGATAGTGTCATTTTAACCTATTCCCTATATTCTTCATCTTGCTCATAACGTCAAAATAACTTGCAAATATCCAAGTCAAAAAGTGAAATTTGCTGCCTTTCTAAAGTCAGTTTTGGTGTTTATGTTTTGCAGGAGCATGTGTTCAGCCACAAGACTAGACCTGTCTAAATCGATCGCTCTCAAGCCCAGCAGTAAACTAGTATTGCAAATTTGGTATGGAAATGTGCAAGACGAACACGTAACATCACTTACGCAGTCAGGAACCAAAAATTTAGCGAACTTCCGACGTCCATGGTGCTGCACAAAGCTAAAAATTACACATTTTTATGATGTACCAGGAACGTCATAAGGCAAAGAAGAGCATTAAAAATTTTTTTAAAAATATTGATAGATAAGATAGATAGTAAGCTATCATGTATATCATTTAACACGCACATGGTGAACATACACACATATATAATAAAACATGCGCATTGTGAAAAGATTTTCAGGTCCCAGATTTTTTCTTACATTTATTCCTTGTATTTAGAACCTGTAGGCCAACATAGCGAAATGCATACATACGAAAAGGTTTCTGTGTCCCTTGGACTTTGTAATGTGCATGAAGGACTGTGTGGCACATTTTTGTTTTCTTTAAAGTGCCTTCTATTAAAGGTAGTTGCACTAGAATCAATAAATCACCTAATTTGAAAGCTTCAGCACAGCGCAGACCTAAAAATGAGCATAGGCCTATATGGAGAAAAGGTAATTTTCCTTCAATTTCAGAATAACACCACTTTTAAAAATGACACCCATCAATATTGATTGCCACCCCAAGGGTTTACATAAACATCAGACCTGACCAAAAAAATGACCTTGTAATTTATACCCTGAGCAGTGATGAAAAATGGTAGGCCTATTCAGTCAAAGGATAATGCTCCAGAACAGCAGACTGTTGGATACAAACACAATACACACAATTCAAGGACAAAAAAATGTTTGAAAAATATAGTTTCAGTATTAAAAAAGACAATTCAGAAATTATGGATTTCATAATACTGTAAAATGCAAGGGGAACCTAACTCACTGACTGCCGTTAATGATGCTACGTCTGAGGGCCTAGACATGTATACGAGAAATGCTGAACCTGCATCCCTGTCGGTTTCAATTCCTAATGGTTTTTATACTATTTACCAACCTGTGATGAGCTTCAGCAATCGCAGAAATGTCTGTTTAATTCTGTAGTTGCGTTCCCTGATCTCCATTAATTAAGGTAGCCTATGTTTCTTTTTTTTTGGGGGGGGGGGAGGTGAGTTACAATAGGTATTTTTAAATCTGGGATCAGCATGTCGCTATTTCAGACTGAGCTTGTACATCTTCCAGCCTCTAAATGAAAAACTGTTCGTTTTTGAGGGTTCTGATATTGAACAGGGCATCAGATAGTCATAGAAGTGACTTAGAATACTTGCACCCCAATTATTCTGTTAAAAAGGGTAACAGAAAACATGCCCTTCAGGTTGTTTCATGCACTTCCTCAACCTGTTGCTCAAAGAATTCTGAGTTTACTTTTGCACATATTTTAAATAATTGTAAAACAAAATTATGACACCTATTACATCTGTTTTCACCTTGACTCAATAGAAAACATATCGTAAAAATTATAAGTGTCTCCTTTGAATAGTTATCCTTCAATGAATGTTTTAAAACACCCTTGAAATGCCAGCAGTCGGGGTTACATTGGGATTTCAACACCTGGCAGTCAGTGAGTTTTAAAAAAGACAGAGAGGTAAAACAACAAAAACTATAGTATCAAGGCGCCATTCTCCAATTTCTTAAAGAAGGAGAAAATTTAACTCCCAAACAAAGCAATAAAACTGATAACTTAAGAGTTTATCTTCTCAATCATAATCAATGACAAATTCATGCACCAGGTGGACATCACTTTTTCTTTCTTTCAAGAACCTCTTTGAGCTGATCAGTGAGCCAGTCGACACCTTCATGAAGACCTTCTCCAGTCAGAGCATTGCTTGCACATATATGCCAAGGCTTATCACTCAAGTTTTCAAGTCCCATTAGATGTGAACATTTGACACTAGTTACTGCATCTCTTACGTCCATTTTATTGGCAAAAAAAAGAACAGGAATTCGTCGATTTTTCAGTTCTGAATGCTGTAGCAGGAGATCCAACTCATCTTTAGCAACCACCATGCGCAGTTTGTCACTGCTATCAATGACGAAGATGATACCATCGCATTCTTTATAATACTGTTCCCACAAATTTCGGTATCTGCCTTGTCCAGACATGTCAAATGCAGTGAAAGCCAATGATTTCGATTTGAACTTCTCCACGTTGAAACCAACTGTTGGGACAATATCATGGTTCTTTGTCTCTGGGGGTTTAAAATGATTTATAACAGTAGTTTTACCACTGTTATCAAGACCTAAAACCATCACGTTCACTTCCTTCTTCCTCACTCCAAGCCACTGGGCCAACGAATCAAAAAAGCCCATCTTCTCCTCGGAATCTGTTCCAGAAGCCAAAAGCAAAAGCAGTTAGATGACAGAGTTAAACAGCTAAACTCAAGAGCGGCAGGAATATCTGGTCAAGAAGCCAAATCTATATTATTTTATAGGAGAATCTACGACCGATAAAACCAAGATTGGCACTGGTGACTGGTGAGGGGGATCCAAGTTCACTTCAACTAAAGTTCAGCGCAACAACGAATCTCCTGACACATTTTGTCAGATGCATCGCTGATTCAGTCAAATCTCTTCAACTAGATCTAGATCTATACACATCTGCTCACACTCGAAAAGGGTATCGCCTTAACCTCGACCACATGGTCGTCACTAGATTTAGAAGGTGTTGGAGGCAACTTTAAACTTTACACCGCTGTCCTCGCTTGGCTTGGCGTCGTACGCAACCATTATCGCTTGGCAAAAATATTTCCCAGAATTCTCTTTTTAAAATAAGGTGGATTAGAAGTACAATGATAATTTATACAAAAGTTTATTTTTTAGAAGCAAATCATCTTTTTTACTTTGATTAATATTTCTGTAATTAATTTTTCAAAAATGTATTTTGTTTACACTTTTTCGTATATGTTTGGTAAAAATAAAGCGACATTTTCATCAAATCCAGGCAAGGAAATTAATTTGCAAGATGGCTACCAAACAATTGTCCAAAAAGCGCTGCAGTTCCCAAAATATAATCTTGAGAATGCGTCGTGTTTTATGTTATTGATACATGCACTGTATTCAGTTGATGCTGAAGTGAATTGCATGTATTTTTCTGAAGCATATCGATACGACCTATGGGATGATGTCATGCCGATAAGTATCGGAATTTAAATTGTTTACCTTGCAAACGAAACGGACATTGCGACCGAAAGTGGTGGTGCGGCTGTGCCTGTACTGTCTGTGTGTGTTGATTAGGCCTAATTTCGATATTTTGCTTCCTGTCTGCATTATCTGACATAATGTTGACCTGACAGTGACCAGTTAGGAGAGATTCATAATGGCATCTTTTTACAAATGACTGGGAAGCACCTTGGGACTCAAGTGACAGTCGAAGTGATCACATGTTCATCAAGGTTCAGTCAGATTATTAAAAATTAAACGCCGGGCATGAAACATACTTCTGGTCAACACAGTCAGTCTGTCAACTGCCACTTGTGCATGTCCTTTCTGATGTTGTGCCACTGAAAAAAATGCCTGCTGTGATGATGGTCATAGTTGATGCAGCCGATTAAGTGACTTGCCAGGTTTTTTTCAGATTAGAAAGGTAGGCTAAGTTAACGAGCTCATTAAATTAGTGGGAGGAATTCTGTAATGAGTGACCACTATGAATCAGAGTAGAATAGAAGGTTAGGGTTTGGGGTAAGGTTAGGGTGTGGGGAAGGGGTAAGGGTTGGGTTAGGGGAAGGGTAGGGTTAGGGATAGATCTAGATATATCTAGGTCTCTTCTTTTTATTGTTTGTTAGGGTAGTCACTCGTTACGGAAGTCCTACCAAATTAGTAAGTTGTCATATAGAGTGATGTAGGCCTATATTTACCTTTATAAATTGTACTATGTAGACAAGATGTAGGGGATAATCCATTTTTGGCTCCAACGATTATATACCTTTTGTTTTGTAACGATTACTTTTCATTGCATATTCAGGTACGATGTTAGGCGCACAGCAAATGAGATAAAATTTTAGTTTTCAAAGCTAATTGAAAAATCAAATTGGTACTACTTAAGAATCTGTTTCCCGTTTTGGGATATATTAGTTTTGACCCCACCAACGATTACCTCTGGTTTTAAATGATTACTTTTTGATGCGCATGCCGATATATGGAGAGATAGCCTATCATCAAACCTAATTGCAAAACATCAAATTATGGTCAAATTCAGGGGGAATTCCCAACTCTTTTAGAGTTTGAGCGCGGGATAGGAGTAATATTAGTAAAATATTACCATAATTTTTGTAATCAAACGGGAGGCAATGCGAACCAGGCACTCATCAAAGTTTTGGCATATATCCACATGGAGTTAATTAATGCAGTGTCATCTTAAAGTTTGTTCATTTGCCTTGATTTTGACAAAAACATTGTCTATCTTTCTTGAACAAAAGTTGAGATAATTTGCGATTATAGAGGGTGGGGGTCGTCTAGCTTCAGAGGTTAAAAATTATCAAGAAAATGGCCACCAGAGTTTGGTGACTTCCATAGCTCCAGAGTCCTTGGAAACTAAGAATTTATATTTCTTGTACATTTAATCAAAGTTTTTCAGTAAAATCTACCAGAAATGTGTTTTTATATAGAGTATAGAGCAAAAAAATAAATATTTGATACAAATTGCCTTACCAGCGAAAAATAGCAGTTTCTTCAATTTCAATATTTTGACGAGCGCTTGATTTCACCTCAGTGCCTTTCTAATGGCTATGATGGTTCAGTATTGTCACTGTTTAACAAAAAGGACAGACTGTAACAGTAATGGTATCATGACTGCATTTTTATTGTTCAGACTGTTGACATTATGGATGGCTGGTGCCTCTATAAATAAATCATTGATGGTCAGGACTGTTGACATTACTGTACTTCGAATATAATGTTCTCCTGTGACTCACTTGCACTTTGTATACACTGTCATTCTATTTTAGATGGCTCAGGATTATAGCCGCAGTCTTCTGAGAGTGTCTGTGGCACAGATCTGCCAGAATCTCGGATGGCACTCGGCTCAGAACTCCTCCCTGGAGGTGCTCACTGACGTGCTGGAGAGGTACATACAGAAAATTGCCGGCACCTGCCACAAGTATTGTGAGCACTGTAAGTACAAACATTCCGTTACATCAGTTTTGACAAAGTGTGAGAGAGAGAGAGAGATGTGTTTTGGTGAATATGGGTGTGTTTGGGTGTTGGACGCAGGTGTGCATGATGTTTTTTTGTTGTTGATATACGCTAGGTCATATGTGTATTTAGTGGTACAGACGATATTTAATTCTTCGAATAGAGGATCATTAAAGGGTGTCTTATTTAATTTTTATATTTTATTGATCTGTATATAAATACCAGTCGTTTAACCTTTGCAGGTCCTTATAATCAGTTTGAGCTCAAAGAAAGAAATCTATTTTGAGCTTGGCGCATCATGACTTGAAATATATTTCTTACCATTTTTCTCATCGAAAAAATGTTATTTTAATTTCGAATTAAATTTTGAAATATTTTTAAACTTACAAATTGTTATTGTGTAAAAGGTGATGATAGTATGGTTTGAGAACATTGTCCAAAATTTTTACGAGTCTTCTCAAAGCAGTTTTTTGCTCATTTTCTATCGTGCCTTTGTTGGGGTTCATTTCTTATAACAATTTTCAAAGATATTTTTTCGCTTTAAATGCTTGTTCTGTGAACTGTGTGCTTTTGTGTTAATAATATTCCTTGAAAGAGTTATGGTATGAAGGTTAAGATACTCCTCCTAAACAGCTGGTAGGAGGGTGCCACTGAATGGACCGTCTTCTGTACGATCCCTCTAATAAACATGATTGTTATCTAGGTGTAATATTTGTTCACTAGAGCAAACTGAAGCTACGTTTGATAGGGGTAGTTTATTTCCTTTTCTCCTTTGTCATTCTGATCTGATTGGTCTTGTATTCTTGGATAGCATGACATTAATTTTTGTCAATATAATGCACTTGCTCTTCTATTAGTTCAGAACTTTTTAAAATGTAGACTCTTTTTTTTTTAAAGTGATTTTAGTCACATGTTTTTATCTTTTCTACCATCCACTTTTTTCACTCTTCCCTCGAAAAATAGTAAGGTGAGTTAAACTTGGTAAATTTTATTTTTTGAAAACAGATGGCCGTACTGAAGCCAACCTGGATGACTTGGGATTGACTTTTCAGCAGCTGGGTATCAGTGTGTCGGAGCTGGAGGATTATGTGCGACATGTAGATCCTTTGCCCTTTGCTCATGAAGTGGTAGCTTTTCCAGCAGCCAGATCATCAGACCTGGGGTTCCCTAACCCCAGAAGTCGCGAAATTTTGCAGCACAGAGAGGAGCATGTGGACGACCATTTGCCATATATGTACCCCAACATGAAGGGTAAGTGTGTGCTTCTGTTCAATTTATGCAAATAAATTTTGGGAAAAAAAAAAAAAATTATATATACACCAAGTGTATTTGATTTATTTGATTATTTTTTGATAATCCAAATTGGTGGAAATCTTACTTGGGGCAACCTTCTGTGTACATATTGAATTTTTTTGGGGGTGTTATTTCACAAGCTTGATTTCAGCTGGTATTGTGCAGGCCAGTGCCTTGATATTTGGTAAGGACGTATCTTTTTTTTAGTGAGAACGGGTTAAGAGGCCATACTTACAGGGCTTGGCAAGTTTCTGGAAAGTCAAAGGCTGGACAGAGAGGAACATTTACATTGTTTGTTTAAAGTGGAGTCTGAGAATGTGACACCACGACTGATCAGGATTCCAAAAGCGTAGTTTTGAATTAATTTAGCAATTTTTCCTTTTGGGTCTATGTAATCATAATTTCTTTTCATTGCCTTTTTGTTAAGCTCAAGTTCACAAGTAAAACAAACTGAATCAATTTCATGCATTAAAATGATTTATTAATTTAAAATAATTCAGTTACATATGGAAAGGCTTTAATTTGAACCTGAATGCTTTTTTTTTTCTTCAGACGAAATCCCGGAAGAAAAACCGGCAGTCCCGGCAGTAATACCCGAAACTCCCATCAAGAGTGAGCCGAATTCTGAAGAGAAGAACGGGGAGGAAGAACTGGTGAACGAGAAAAGAATAGCATCAAGTACCACTCCAGAGGGGCCCCCGGTGAAGAGACAGAGGTGAGTTGATTTGTCCGTATTTGCCTGGAATGTTTCGGGGTACTCACGGCCTAGAGGTTTTCCCATTTCACCGTGCTGCGCCCTGATAAGCTGTACCTTCGTTCATACTGATGGGGGGGGGGGGGGGGGGGCGCAATTGTGCCTGGAAATGATAGTAGCATTTCCACAATAGCAACAGAAATTTCGTGGCCGGTTAGGCATGGTGCTTTAATACTTAGCTCACAAAGAATAAGAGTTGGATGAAAACAGTTCGAATAAAATGAGTCCTGTGGGGATGTTGTAATGTCAACTGTGTACATTTGTTTGTTTCAAGTCACATTAGTATTGCATGCATGTTTGTGTATGATAGTTCATATCCTTTCCTGTTTCATTGCCTTGGAAGAAAGTGAAACGTGGTTATTACCTTGCTGGTTAGCTGTAAACTATTACTGAACATAGACTGCGGAAACAACTTGATTTCCTCTCTCTTAATAAATGTATTTGTTTTCTCTCTTAATAAATAGATTTTTCTCTCTTAATAAAAATATATTTCCCTCTCTTAATAAGTTTATTTTTTTCTGTCTTAATAAATAGATTTTTCTCTCGTTTTAACTGGATTATTCTCTCTTAATAATTTTATTTTTCTCTCTCTTAATAAATAGATTTTTCTCTCTTAATAATTTTTTCTTTTCTATTAATAAATAGATTTTTTTACTCGTTATAACTTGATTATTTTCTCCTAATAAGTTGAGTGTGCTGTCACGTTATTGTTCTCTCATAATAAATAAATTTTTCTTTCGTTATAACTTGACTGTTTTCTCCTTATAAGTTGACTTTGCTGTCGCGTTTTAACTTGATTGTTCTCTCGTAATAAGTTGACTTTGTCATCGCGTGCCCCCAGATTGGCCAACTCGAACCTGCCGGAGGAGGCGGGCCACTCTCACTACGAGATGACCTGTGTGTTCCTCAACCAGAACGGCGTGCTCACCACCAGGCAGGGCTGTCAGGGCAAGAAGCCGGAGCCACGCATGCCTCCGCCCAACCCACACACCCTCTCGGAGGGGGCCAACAAAGAGAACTCCGGCAAAACCAAAGAATCTGGGAACAGCGCAAAGATTTCTGTCGGTGGAGGGGGCATTGATGCTGAGCCCTCCGTCAACGGGAAGAGTGGTGGGAAGAGCAGCAAGAAGAAAATGCACAAGAAAAGTTCCGGGCTCCAGTTCAGTCATGAACAGGCGGCTAAAACAGCTCTAGAGATGACAGGAAAGGAAATTGGGAAGAAATCGGCCAGTAGCAAAGCTGCTGCAAAATTCCTCAAAAAGCTCACGTCGGGAAAGAAGTCTGCGAAATTTTTCAGTAAATCTAGGTTCAAAGATCTTAAAGTGTCCGATCACCTGAAAGACGGGCAGTCCTCTGAGAAGCTGAAGAAGTATCTCTCGCAGGGCGATGAGGAGAGGGATGGTAAGAAGGGGAGCAAGAAGACGAAAAAGGAGAAGAAAGCGAATGTGATTGACTCTGACGAGGAGCTGAGAAACCTGTGCTCACCATCATCTTCTCGCGAGCCCTCCCCAGAACAGGGTATTACTAACGATAGTGAGGGAGGAGCGCAGAAGAAAGCTCGCCTCGACGCCATTAACGATAGTATTAATGCTGTTCTGCGGGACGGCCCGGCCAAACCAGGACGGCCGAGGAAGAAGAAGAAGGAAGGAGAGGGCAAGAAGGGAGAAACGAAGTCACAGAACGAGGAGTCGTCCTCCAAGCCAGATGCTAGCGTGAAAAATAAAGACAAAGACAAAAAGGTGAAGAAGAAGCCTGGGAGGAAGCCGAAAGAGAAGGCTCCAGACCCACCACCCGTCGATATCAAGCCATTTGTGTCGGACAAATATTCCTCGGAGGAGTTGCAGGTTTACGAGTTCAACGACAGTCCCCCCGACGCCAGCATGAAGTCGCGACGCCCCAGTGCTGCGGGGAATTCCTCACCTCCTCACCCTCCTCCTCCTCCTCCTCCCCCACCTCCACCAGCGCCCACCCCTCCTGCTCACACAAGCTCCAAATCGGAGCAGCACTCGTCCAGCACAACGAAGCATCACTCGTCGTCATCGTCCAGCTCTGGCCCCTCTGGCGGTCACAAGAGTCACCACAAGTATGTGCCACCGGAGGACGATCTGTTCGCTCCGGAGATCAAACTGGAGTCAAGGGCAGATCACCACGACAGTGGGAAACCGTCGAAGCAGGAGTCAAAGTCGAAGGTGGACAAGAAGGAGAAGACAGAGGAGGAGAAAGGGAAGTCCAAATCAAAGGAGGAGAAAGGGGATAGGGGGAAAGAGAAGAAAGAAAAAGTGAAGGATGAGAAAGAGAAGGACAAGGCCAGTGACGCAAAGGGGGACAAACACAAGGTAATTTTTTTGTGCTATAGAATTGTTATTGTGACTCTTCCTTGCACTACCACAGTTTTTGGGTATTGCATTCCATATTTAAGGTATATCTATTTGTCCGTTTTACAGAGTTTTCGGTAAGCCAAATGCAGTGAAATAGCTGGTGTTGTTAGAAGAAGAGTATATCTTTTGCTTTGCTGCCCTCAGCACTCATGCAACCATAGGGTAAGTCCAGTTTTCAATATGGGTGATTAGAGGGCGTTACTGGTAAGTCCTACTTCTCTTCTTTCTCTCTTTATTGTGTTGATGTACTTTTCCTAACTACTCAACAAATGACAAAATGAAACTGGGGGAGCTTCTGATAGATCTTACTCTTATTCTATTCCTGTTTTGTTACTGTCTCTCTGTTTTACCTTTTCCCCAGTACTAAATTGACCATTGATTACCTGTGTGTTTCTCCAAGTCGAGCTCGAAAAGCCAAAGATTGTCTAGGAGTTGGGAGGCCTAGTGACACACCGTGCACTCATCTGACACACCGTGCACTCATCTGACACACCGTGCACTCATCCTCTGTTTCCCTGTCTCTCATATGGCCGGACTGAAACGCTGAATAAGCAGTAGTCCTGCCCTTGAAAAGAAATGAGAGTTAAGCTTAAAACGTGATTCATTTTTGTTTCACCTTTTCTCCTTGGCACTTAAGAGAGCAAAATAGTGGTAGGGTATGCCTGTATAGAATATATCATACAAATTTTGACTATGGTCAGAACGACCAGCGGGATTCAACAGGAGAAACTGTGAGTATATGACTAACTGGTGGCTCGATGACTTGATGTTTTAGCAACACCAATTCTTCATCTTTATCATCGTGTGTTGTTGTGTTATTTGCAGGAGAGAGAACACAAGAAGGATAAAAAAGAGAAAAAAAGGGACAAAGAGAAGAAGAAGAAGCATAAAGAGAAGGACAGAGAAAAGGAGAAGGAGAAAAAGAGGGAAGACAAAGTGAAGGTGAGAATCAAGCATGTGAGTATTGTGAACCTTTCTCTCTCTCCCTTGTGCCCTAGAAGTGAGTAGTGTCGGTCGGCTGTGCTCTCTGAGGCAGTCTCACCCACTAACCCGATGTGTACTGCGTTTTCTCCCTTGTGCCTCTAGAAGTGAGTAGTGTCGGGTGTGTGCTCTCTGAGGCAACCTCACTCACTAACCCGATGTGTGAACCTTTCTCTCTACCTTGTGTCCGTAGAAGCAGGGCTGCCAACCATTCCGTTTTTTTCGTAATCATTACAATTTTTTTAGCCTCACTGCGAAATTCCGATCTTAAGGCGATTTATTACAATTTCTACCGTTACCAGATTTTTGGCTATAAAAAAAATATTTTTGGTTCTTTTTTCATTTTACAAGTCTTAGTGCAGACCTGTAAATCGTCTGCCAATGGTCGGAAAACCGCCAATCTTTAAATCATCCCCCTGCCCCCCTCCCCTAAAAAAAGGAACAGCTGGCCCACTTCACGCGAGTTAGTCTTGCCCACAATAATACCGTACACGAGTAGAAGCATTGTTCGTCGTAATATAGTAATTTGAAAATGAGAGCATTATTACGAATTTTTATTGGAAATTACTAATTTTCTTTATGGTCATTACTAAAATCCATGGAGATGGGTTGGCAGCCCTGTAGAAGTGAGTAGTGTTGATAGGCTGGGCTCTCTGAGGCAGCCTCACTCACTAACCCGATGTGTGCTGCATTTTATCCCTTGTGCTGTGAACCGTTCTAGTCCTAGTCCCCGTGTAGTTGGTGTGTGATGGTCTGCTCCTCATATTTCTTTCATTTCTCTTTAGAAATGTTTGTAGCTGCTTTGGTAGTAAAGGTCTACCTGAGCCCTCTGTTCGGAACTTATATGACCAAGTGGGTGGTTGGCAGGTGCTCGATGTGATTTGCTCTCCTTCTTTCCTGTCAAACATCTATCGTCCTGATCTCTCCTCCTTCTTTTTTGTGTTTGTTGCTCTCTTGTAACACCTCTAATCTTCGGCACTTATATGACCTTATTATGTCGCAAGTGCTGTAAAACATGTACTAAATTAGTAAAACTAAACATTGCTTGACCGGCCACACACATCCCAGGTCCCCACTCTCTGTGGGACCAACATGGATGTAGCCGTGGTGTTCTGTGGGAAAGACAATTTTTTAAACTTCCATTTTAAGACTGGGGCGCTCAGGTTGACCTTTACCGCTGCTTTCATCCACAGATGGGTTACTTGGTGAGTACTGTGTTGTGTGCTGTGTTCCTTACCAGGCTTCTTCAGAGGTCTTTTTGTACCTATCTGCTTCTTTTCAGATTTTTTATTTATGTTGGTTTACTTACCTTTATCCTCCTCTCTCCCACCCCCCACCCCACCCTACCATGACTTAATTAAAAAGACTTGTAGTTCTCAGATCACCAAGCTAACCAAATTATACAGGAAATTCTTTCTTTATTTTCGTAGATTTTCTCATGACCAGCATTTAAATTATTTCTTTGGGGGTTCTGCAAATTTCATGAAGTCATGATAGCTCGTGACTTTGTTTGAAAAGTGCTAGTATTGCTTCTGCACAATTTGGGATTTTTTAATGATTATTTTATCGCCACTGAAATGTTCATATGATATAAACTGCATCAAAGCATTTATTTTAGGCGTGCCATCCATATAGTCATAGGTCTGAATTCATTTGTTAAGGGATAGCGTGGTCTCAGAATGTGTTCAATAAAGGGAAAAGTTCCGAGGTTTTCTTGTGTGTGAGGTCACATGTAGTCTTCAGTAAAACTCATTTGTACTATTGGTTTATATCACAAATATATGATACGTTAGTGCCAAATTATGGTAGCAGTGCATTTCAAGGAACTAGAAAAAAAAAACTTATGTGATAATAATGTGAATTTTGGAGCCCTGTGAATGAATTGTTTATATGAAAGGTCAACTGAGAAAAATTGGTATATGGTGCTTTTCTCAGAGTGATAACTAACAAATGTATAAATGTTATGATAAATTACAGGTACTTTTGTTCGATTTCTCTTCATTAGCCCTTTCTGTAGGATATGTTTTGCATTTCCTATTAGGCCACTAGCAAGATGTCGCGACCTCAGTGCTTCCATGTCGTATCTCTATTTTTAATAACAGTGAAAACAATTCATAACTAAGTGTAAGCTTAAGAAGAAGTCACATTTTCACTGTTTGAAAAAATGGAAATAGGACAAGAAAGCACTGAGGTCGCAGTGTGTAAAGAGTGCAGTTCCATGACGTACCAGCCATGTATTTAATTATGGCATTGAAAGGGTGGAAGAAGGGAATGAAGCTGATTTGTTTTCCAAATAAGTGTGTGGGGATTGAGTTGTCTGAGTAGAGTGTGCTCACTGTGGTTATCCCAGAAACAGAGTTTCCATTTGTTCTCATGTGACAATGCCTTTTGAGTGCTTTACTGACTTATTCAATATAAATCTGTCTTTCGAGTCACCCTCAAACTGAGGATAGTATAACTGTTTGCATCTCTTTTGTCGGTTTGTAGTCGTTGTGGTCATTGCCACGGAGCTTATAGTTAGTGTGGACTCATTCCTGTGTTCACACCTGGAATTTAGTACTTTTAAAGTCATTTACTTTTTAGAAAATGGAAGACAGTCAGATCAAGCTGACATTAAACTTTCAAAACGTGACACTTTAGGCGAAGCTCTTCTTCTTGTTGTGATTTTGGGTTTATATTTTACTTCTATTTTTGGGGTCCTTTCTTCTTACTATCCCTGAAAAAAATGTCAATATTTTTGTCCTGATTGTGTCCTCAGCAGGAATCTCGAGAATCCCGCGAGTCGTCCCCTGCTGTAGGACTCGGTGGCGTGAAGCTTAAAATCAAAATCGGCAGTGCAGGGCCGTCGTCGTCCATGATGGTGACCGGAGACAACTCTCCCGCCTCACCAGCCCTGAGCTCTGATTCCAAGAGAGAGTCCAGGGAGTCCATGTCTCCACCGAGGGCCATCCCCAAATTGTGAGTGTCGTAGAATCGTTGTCGTTTGTCATGAAGTACCCGATCGGAAGCCGACGTCTGCGGTCACGGGTCCTCACATTCATTTCTTTGAGCAGATACTAAAAAAAAAGCTCTGTGGTGCATGGTGGTGAAATCAGGCGCTCGTCAAAATAATGAAATCAAAGAAATCTGCATCTTTTTTGGCAGATGAGCAATTTTTGTCTAATTTTCTTTTTTTTGGCTTAACACCTGTTATGTCCATTTAAAAACACATTTCTGTGTGGATTTTACTGAAAGGCACAAAAAATTTAAATTTGAAATTTCCAAGGACTCTTAGGTTATGAAAGTTACCAGAGTTTGGCAGCCATTTTTTCGATAATTTTACCTCTGAAACCTGCGACCCTGACGTCCTTCAGTCGCAAACATCTCGACTTCTATTCAACATATATCAATATTTTTTTCACTAAAGGGATGGCAAATGAACAGGCTTTAAGATGATACCAATAACCCCATATGCCCCAAAATTGACGAGTGCCTGATTCCACCACGTCATGGCACATACATATTATCCTGGTCTCTTCTCGTCATCAATCTGTTCAGGTTCTCTCAGCAATTTGCTCTAGGTCTGCCCCATCCTCTTTTGTCTTCTCTTGTAGAATAGACTGTGCAAGTTAAGACATACTCTGTGGGTACCCACCAGGGCAGTGCTACTGACTGAAGTGTCTTTAGGCCATTCCCAAAGGGGGAATATTAACATGTTCTTATGCACAGTAGAATTGTAAATGGGCCGATTCGACAATGTCATGCTCATACTGTGTCGAAACAACATACGGGGAACTGCTGCTTTTTCTTTCCTCATCCTTACTATCGTCATTTTTCCTCTACTTCTTTTGTATGTTTGTCACTTTCTTGTGAACTGCTATTTCCGGGGTGCCTTGATAGTCGAAGCAGACTTTGTGCTGTTGAGGCTAGAGAGGTGAGCAGAGTACGCCTGATTCTCCGTTTGGACTTCTCTTTTGAAATCCACCCCTTGGCGCTTATACGACCTTATGCAGTTGCGAGCGCCGTAAAACCTTACTAAAAACAAAAAGACGGCAAGTTGAGACATGCTGTGTTTGTATCTTGGTGGTTTGTCGTGGCTGTGATGTGATCAGGTCCTGCGACTTTTTGGGTATTACTGTTATCTTAGACTATTTCCTCTGAAATATAGTCACCGTCATACTGACTCACCCTGACTAAAACTTTGTTTCTCTCTTCTTTCGTGGGTGGTTGACGGGTGCTCTGGTGTGGTTTGCTCCTTTTTTCCTATCAAACATCTATCGTCCTGATTTCTCCTCCTTCTTTTTGTGTGCATGTTACTCTCTTGCAACACCTTTATTCTTCGGCACTTATATGACCCTATGTGTTGCAAATGCCGTAAAACTAAACTTCTTTCTCCTTTTCATTTTTACACCACTTTCTATTTTACTTTTTTTTTCTGGCCCGTTCATGTCCGTATGATTTTAGGATGCTTGGGAGGTTGAAGTGTAACTCTTTGAGAGTGTAGGAGGGAGTGGGTCTGTTCTGTCCATCCACCCCCTCTTGAATGATAAATTTGTTGGTGTGGAAAATCTCAAAGTGTTGATAAGATGATGATCTTGTCTTTGGGTTTGCTTGTTGATGTGGGTGATATGCGGTTGCTCTGGTGTGGTTTGCTCCTTCTTTCCTATCAAACATCTATCGTCCTGATTTCTCCTCCTTCTTTTTTTGTGCATGTTACTCTCTTGCAACACCTTTATTCTTCGGCACTTATATGACCTTATTGTGTTGTAAGTGCTGTAAAACTTACTAAAACTAAACCAAAGCTTGTTGATGTTTTAAAGGTGTGGCAGGGGATGGTCAGTGTTGAAAGAACTTTGGCATTGAAAAGGAAAATGTGTTTCATATTAACACGTGAAGCTTTCTTTGAGATTTTCCATATCCATTGATGGTGTGATCAGTTTTTTTTCTATTTGTTTGGGTTTAAAAAAAAGACGTCTGCGCCTGCCTCTTGTTTCAGATATATTACCAAGAAGGGACAGAATACGGAGGAGAAGCCCAAGAAGCCCGGCAAGCATCCAGGAAGCTCTGGTGGTAGCAAGCACAAGTCCTCTCCCCTAGCGGTGTCCTCAAAGTCGCGATCCAACACTCCGTCCCCGTCGCCCAAGTCAAGAGACCCCACCCCACCGAGCAAAACTCCGACTCCCCCTGTTCCGCGCAAGACGCCAACCCCACCTCCCCCTCCCCGCCATTCCGATTTGGCTACCCACTCTCCCGCTCCGAGCAAAGACAATCGGCATCAGGATCAGAAAAAGAGCAAAACTTCCCTCAAAGAGCGACGGGGCAGATCACCCGTCAAGAGGGGTCGGAAGGAGAAGAAAAAGGAGAGAGCCGTCTCATTATCACCCTTGTCGTCCTCATCATTATCATCGCCGTCACCGTCGAAATCCCCCCCTCCACGTCCCCGTCCGTCGCCCCCGAGGCTCAGCCGCATGTCATCCTCGTCTGTGGAGAAATCTCCCGCACCCCCACCGGCTCGGAGCCAAGACACCTCGCCGCGGCCGCCCTCGCGAACCAAACGGTCGCCCTCGCGAACCAAACGGTCGCCCTCTCACTCCCCAGCCCCTGTCCGCCATTCCCCAACCCCGCCCCCTCCATCTCGGCGGAAGCCCGCCTCACCCCCATCCCTCTCTCCCGTGCCACCCAAACAGCAGAAGCAACGCTCGCCCTCCCCCTCGCCTGCCAAACCCCCGACCCCGGGCTCCACGTCTCCTCCTGCTTCGCCCGACATCAGTCTGCCCGTATCCCCCACGCACCACCAGTCTCCGAACCCCACCCCCCGCACCCCGACGGGGTCCCCGTCCCGTGACATCCCCCTCTCCCCGACTCACTCGTCTCTGGCGGCAAGCCCCGCCCCTCACCGGAGTCCCAGCCCGCCTGCTGCCCCTGCCAGCTCGTCTCGCCCTAGCTCAAGGCTTCACAGCACTCCGGAGCCCAAGAACATCAAAGACAACCCATCCCCGGCCTCCTCAGGGAAGTCCTCGTCCTCCGTGTCCAAAAGTCGCACCGTGGAAGCAGAGACTGTCTGCGTCTTCTATGTGAGTGTTTCTGGGTGTGCTTTGGTGTGGTTTGCTTCTTCTTTCCTTTCAAACATCTATTGTCATTATCTCCCCTCCATTTTTTTTGTGTATGTTACTCTCTTGTAACACCTCTAATCTTCGGCTCTTATATGACCTTATTGTGTTGCAAGTGCCATAAAACTCTTACTAAAACTAAAGAGACTGTGTGTTTGTCTTCTATGTGAGTACTGGTGATAGTAGAGACTGTTTAGTTGAGTTTAATTAAAGTAAATCACTGAAGAAACATTGTTTATCTTTTTCTTATGGTTTAGCAGAATTGTTTGTTCAACCCCTCATGGGTTTCAACTGTCCGTGACATCTTGGGTACCTCCCGGGGCGGTGCCACTGACTGTAGTGTCTTTAGGCCATTCCCAAAGGGGAGACATTTCTCGTTCAAGTGCAGTAGAAAATGGGCTGATTC